CTCCCCACTGTTAGCTGATGTGAAGTGTATGTGTAGGGTACTGGCACATTATGGCTGCCCCCATTACCTGTAAAAAGCTTTGAATAGAGTGTCCAGAAAAGTGCTATAGAAGTGTAAGCAATTATAATTTTATTATTATTATTTAGCTGTAAAACCGAATGATTTCTCAGCCTCCAAGGATCAGAGGTCTCCTTTATTTAACATATTACTTGTTTATTTGTTTAGGTGTTGCCAGTCTTAAATTTCTCCTAACTGATCTAATATTTAACAGATTATTATATCAGAAGTGAAAAATTCTGATTTTTATTATGTTTATCAGATATTTTTATTTAGTTTCTATTAAAACTATGATGCGTGGCTTGGAAGTTAGCTCTGCTCCTACCTCTTTGCTCTAGGGTCCTGAGTTAGACTGCAATTTATAGAGCCTTTTGTATAGATTTAGCATGTTCTTACAAGGTGTACATGTGGTTTAGCTCTTCCTCCATTTTATAATCTGGATGTATTTTTATGAATCCAAAACGAATCTTATATTATTAGCATTGTTGTCCTCTTTATGTTTCATCAACTCTATTATTGATTTTTTTTTCATTTTCTCATATGGCCATAGGAATTTTAAAGTCATTGGTAAGCAATGTAATCGGATGTCAGTTAACTCAGAAGAAGTGTTTGGTTGTGGAATAATGGAAATCAGGATTTGCTTTAAATACTTTGGCAGCCCATATTGTTTCTTTATATACAGACAGAAATTCAATTAAATCACCTTGATTTTATTTCTAACAATAACAAGCTTCACCAATCATTCCCAGTTGATTTGTATTCTTTTATTTATTTTATACTTTAATATGTGTTTCATTCTGTGAGTTCACTTTGACGTTTCCCTGGGAAACAACTGACCACATATCTCGCACTGATACAAATAATGCGACGTAATTGGATGGACTGAGAAAAGATGAATACTAAAAACATAAAGTAGATGGGCAGAAGTGCCTCTCCTTATCTTACCAATCCTTATGTACTTCTGTTTTCAACGGTAGAGTCAAGAAATCCACAGATTTCCTAATCCATTACATAAAGCCATTGAACTTTCTTTAAAGAAAATCACCCTGCAATTCCCAACTATCAACCCATTGAAGCCAAGCCTGTCCGATACCTGGATGGTACCTGCTGGGAAAGCTAAGGTTGCTGCACATGGGCGGGACCAGTAGGGGGCGCTCACCTTGCGGACTGTATGGGTCCTAATGCCCCAGTATAGTGAAGGGGACACTATGTTGTAAAAAAGGCACCGTCCTTTGAATGAGATGTAAAACAGAGATCCAGACTCCCCATGGTCGTTAATTATCCCAGGGTGTGTCAAAAAAAAGATTAGGGGTGTTACTCTGGTGTCCTGGCCAAGTTTCCCCCTGGACTTTACCAGTCATGGCCTCCCAATTATCTCCACCTATGAACTGGCTTCATCACTCTGTTCTCCTCCCCACTGATAGCTGGTGTGTGGTGAGCGTACTGGCGCACTATTGCTGCCGTAGCATCATCCAAGATGGTTCCATGGATGGCATGGATGGTGGGGCAGGGGAGCCCCCATTAATTGTAGAGCGCTTTAAGTAGAGGGTCCAGAAAAGCGTATTATAAGTGTAAGGATAACTTATTATTTATTACATAAGAGGGATTTGGTAAAGAGATGCCTGATGGCCAAGAAGTTATAGGAAAATAATGCGACGTAATTGCATGGAAGATCTGAAGGCCCGTCAGGCTTAGATAAAGTGAAACTGATGGCTCGGAGAAGCTTCTCACTAGTTTGCAAATATTACATTTTCTCAACTTTTGTCCCTTTATCTCTTGCCATTGCTCATGTAGCTAGAAAAACAGAATGTATTTTACCATCTTTGAGTTCATGCCATTTTAGGCTTGAGTGAATACATGAATGAGAAGCTAGATTCAGTAGCTCAGAGATCCTTTTGCCTGCATGTAAATCAAATGCTGTACTGCAAAGACAGTCCTTGAACCAACTGTCAGACTCACAGAGCGTTAAATTCTCCCCAAGCTGATTGCCACTGAATGCTCAAAAAAGGATTCCATTCACGCCTACAGAGCATTTGTACATGGTGCACTTTATGCTGCTGTGAGAAATACAATTGTGCAGATTCAGTCCAGACCAGGAACTGACAGACCGCTCCAGTTTTTTGTACTAAATTGTGTTCGAGTTTGATGAAATGGATATTATTAATCTTACAGTATAGTTCTGAGTTTGTTTCTATATACTGTACAAAATACATACTGTATTATATATGCATTTATGTGCAACAGTCTTAGATATTTCATATAATTGTTTTTTTCACTCTGGTTTTCTTCTTTCTGAAAAAAAAAACTGATCCTGATATCCTGATAGATCTGTATTTTGTGGAAGAAAAAGTATCCCTTAAGCTTTGGATAAGTCTCACCAGACTTATCCATTTCTCACCAGCCTTGTGTACTTTGGGCCCATTGTTCTTGATGGATGTGGTCATGCTCTCTCAGGGTGCTTATGGATCACTTATGGACAGACAGTTTTTAAGTTTCTCCACAGATTCCCAATTGAATTCAAGTCAGGACTGGCCCAGTCAAGTACATTCACCTTCTGCTCCTTAAACCACTCCAGTGTAACTTTGGCCTTGTGCCTTGCATCCCTGTCCTGCTGAAAAGGTGAATTGCTGTCCCAGTTTTTGGTCTGAATCAGCTTTCTCTGCCCTTGCTCCATCTGTGTTTCAATCAGGTCTTGACAAGATTCCTAGTCCCAGCTGAAGAGAAGCAAAATTATAACCTAATGACACCACCACTATGCTTGACATTAGGAATGGTTTTCACTGACTGATTTTGTGTCAGATGTAACACTCGGCCTCTAGCCCATAAAATGCCAAGGCCAGGTTTATGGATTCACTGGGATATTGTTGACCCACAAACATTTTCTCCCATTTCAGCCGAAGGTTGAATTCTGCTTGAAGGGAGATCCCCACCTACTTGTCCACCAACAACCACTTAATGCACCAGCCTTGTCTTCCTCAGTGGTCAACCATCACAGAAATGACCCGGCCCAGCCTTGCTTACCTTCCGAGAGCCGATGGGATCAGACTATAATGTGTTAGCAGTGCTGTCATTGCAGTACAATAAAGTTTAAAAGTTCCAAACTCTAGAACATAGTGCACATACAGAACAGCAATTTGTCCAGGCACAAAGACACCATGAGGGAGCAGTGTGCAATGGAAAACAGCAGCAAATTTTTGGGGGGATTAAACAATGCAGTAAATATCTGCTCTGCAGGAGGAATGGTTTTACATAACTGTTGCAATTTCACTCCAATTCTACAGACTCTCACAGAGGAAAATAACTGCAGTGCTGCTTTTTGTACTATACTGATCAAGAACAGGAGGAATGCAGTGATCGAGAGAACTTCCAAGTTGTAAGCGGATCAAAACTGTGAAGCATTCTCTGCGAAAGCAAAATCACAATAGCATGTCTTACAATTACTTGTAAAGCTCAAGAAATGTCTAGAAAAAAAGTGTGGTGCCAAGAACTAGACATGGTTATAAATTTAGTAAGCGCTAGAAAGGCTTTGAAATTTTTAAAATGCAACTCTGTTCTCTGTGGTTTCAGTTGCTTGAACGCTTTCTGCTCATTGGTCTACCACCAGAACCAAGTCAGGGGGGGAAGGAAAACCCAGAGACGAGAATGAAGAGGGGAAGTACCCAGGGACAGAAGGTCTCTTGATTATCCTACAGCAGCACAAAGAAAGATGAGAGGGCAGGGTCATTAAGGGCTCCTAGCACCCAGTAAAGGAGGCCTCCAATTGTGCATGCCTCCGCAAAGAATAATTTCTTAATTAAAATGGTCAATTTTTCCTCCCACAGCTGTAGTGGTGTTCTGAGAGAGCTTTACAACCTGGTGCTACAGGCAAGCTTTCTAAGGAGCAGTTTGAGACATTACCAAAGACAAGAGAACCGTAAGCACACAACTTTATAAAGTACAGGATAATCCAAACCGTTAAAAAAGAATTTATGCTGCAGTTCATTCTCCTCTTACTACAAAGAGGAAACAAATCTGAATGCTGCTCCTGTACTCACAATTATACCCAGAGATGCATGTAAATATTCATGGCAAGAGTTTGATTTGTGGCATGCAATGACATCTACTGGTGAAATGGAGTTTCACAAGCAATGTTTTCATCAACTTCCAGTCTTTTACTGAAAGACTTTTCAAGTTAGCAGTGCATTAGGACAGTCCCCCACTGGATGGGGCCAGTGGGGCTGTCTTAATCAGTTGACCACTTCTTGAGGTACCTTCTCCAGACCATTAATGAAGGATCTTAGCATAATGTCAGCATAATTTTGCTAGAGCCTTTTAAACTAAGTACAGTACCTGGTAAGACAGTTTGAGCACAAATGGTAAAAAGGCCTTTTTTTAAAATAGGCATTAATTTTCCTTATGCATTTTACTTCAGTCCCATTTAAAATACAGTAACTTGAGGTTTGTAACTAAGGACAGCATAAACCAAGATGCATTGTGAGAACCCTTTAATCAAAAACTACAGATTAATCCAAAGTTTTGGGCCTGGTTACTTGTTCATTTAATTACAACCTGCAAGTAAGAGCCAGAGCACCAGTATTCTGGAATATTATTTCTCCAAAACTGATTTGGTACAATATTGATGGCCTTTCATGCAATAACTGTTAAAAAGACCATTTCAACTCCCAAAACACAGTGCAGAGGTGGCTAGTTACAAACATACTAATTTATAGTATATCCATATTTATTTTTTAACATACTAGCTGAAGGCATACATATTCCATCCTGGGCGCATGAGGCTAGTAGACTGGGTATCTTAAGAGATGCTAAACGTCCAAGTAGTTCATAATCTGCATGCAATAATGGCAGCGCTGGAATACCTGCATAATACCAAAATGCCAAGGGCAAAGCTCCAGCTTCAACAGCAATGCCTGAAACCAAGCAGTTAAATAAAAACAGGACACCCAGATTGTTGCCCAGAGGCATTTAATGGTCTTCCACAACAGCTCAGCGCTAAACACGGAACAAAGTGAACAAAATGGACATGGCGAGAAAGGCAACAGAGTACTGCGGCCTTCAAAAAGGTAGAAACTCATAACTGGAACATCTCAGCATGTTCTCCCCCCGCCCCGGCAACTTCAAAACCACAAAGAGGCACTTTAGCATTTTTTTTTTTTCCCCACCTCCAGAAGGCCCATCCTCAACAACTATTCCAACACCAGAAAGGAAAGGTGGGAAGTGGTCAGAGAAGAGATGGGACAACTGACATTTTAGTACTTAAGAACTGCTACAAGAATTCCCCATCTTGGTAGGAGACACCAAAACACAAGGCTTCTGCAAGCTTGGCTCTACGTGCTGTGCGCGTGTGCTAGTTTTTGGTGCAAACCGCATCTCTCCCCCCCCTCGCGAGCACGCAACTACGGGCTTAGGCAGCTTTGCACAGCGCCACCGCCGAGAATCGAACTTCCCCCTTCTCACGCTCCACAAACTGCCTGCAGATCTTGGCAGCATCCTGCAACACAGAAACCCACATCAGTAAAACAAAATTCCCCAAATGGGTTAGTATAGTATGTAAAGCTAAACAGCAAAAAAAAAAAATCTTACTTCTAAAATTGTCTTTATAAGTCACTACTAAACCCAGACCAAAAGCTGAGCCCATATTTTCATACCAGTTCCACAGTGTCTCTGTGGAGCTCAGGCCTTACAAGTATTATACTGCACTATATTGCATGCAAGACAAATGAAGTGTATAGAAATGCAGTCCGCTGCTAAAAAGTCACCCCTTCTCAAGACATAATCAAACGCTTATCACGGTAAGGAATCAAACTGTGCAACCTACCATGATGAACGAGTCATCTTTTGTAGCCCCATGATCAACAGGCACACTCATTCTTCCATCTAGGAAAATTGTTAAAAGAAAATCAGAATCCAGCTCTGCATTCTTCACAGGTTAACTATTAAGGA